AATCTCTCATGAAATACTAATTCTTGATTTGATATATGAAACGTATCATGCCGAATTGACTGCACATAGCAAGTTCTTATGGTTTAACCTTCATAAAGTTCATTTCAAAGCAACAGAAAAAAACGAAAGACGTAAATATGAAATATTGAAAAGAAAAAAAGAAAATTAGAATCAGTGCTCACGCACCAAAAAAAAAAGGCTTCATATAGTATCTTGCAGCTGACAGTTCAATATCAATAATATACAGAAAACCTAATATGTGATACGTATTTGACCCTTTAAGCGACAAATGTGGATTACGTAGAACTTAATATATTGATAGAGCGTAAATACATTTTTATTGTAACAGAACGGTACCTTAACAATATTATAACATTGTATCTGACATGTCGAATCAGTTAACATTTTAATATAGTCCTATTGTTAAAGTCATTTTTGTAATCTCCTGGTATAAACTACACAATTAATTATAGATATACAAAGAGTAAGACTTAAAAGTAGAAAGGGAAAGGTATTAAAAGTGTTCAATGCAAAATATCATTTAACAAGACAAACTCTTCACGTGTCATCCATGAAAGCCGAGAAATATGACAAATGTTTTATAATCAATTTTACATTAATATTCCCTTCAGATTTGCTCGCTGATATTTTATTTTCTCAATGGGTAATCTTTGAAGTATTTCAGGTTGACAAATCGTACAAAGTGTTCATAAAGAACGGCATTCCATTTCATAAACATAATTGACATCAACCTATCTGTGAAATTGACACCCAGCCAGTGTGATTTATTTAACGAAATTTTCCTTTTTGTTGGTTTATCTCAACATACAGCAAACTTAAATTAACATTAAATGAGAAATCAGATAGAAGTTAATGATGTTTTAAGGCATTGACAAACACATCCCTATGGTGACACAGCCTTGTACAAAAATCCAGTTTTTTAGGCAATCCTTATCAAGCCAAATAAAAAAAGAATCATTATGTTTGAAAGTTTCATGAACATTAAAACCAGTTGTAAAATACTGGTGTGTCATACTAACTAGATGCTCTACGGAATATGTAAAGCTCACCTGGCATATTTGCATAAATATGATACGATGAGACAAAAATAATTGATTTTGATTGGGAAAGATGTGATCCTAAATCTTGTCGTGCTGATATTTTTGTAGGCAGAGATTTTGCCTGTTCATTAAAGTTTTCAAATAAAAGGCAAACATGTAAAATGGATAAAAGTTTCATTCTCAACCTTTATATATGTTATGTATTATCATCAAATACAACTTACATTTAAATATTAAGAATGAACACAAATGCGGCCACTTCCATTTCAGACGGAAACCGTCTAAAAATTAACCAAAATGCTAAAATTTCGAAGATTTCAGTAATTTAGCATGACTTAATGATGCTAGTACCCGATACATGTGCATTGTATTGTCAAAAACAGCCCATACTTATGTAACAGAAGTATTCTTCTTTCCAATAAATAGCTAAAAATGTACATTTTAACAATTTTGTAAAACTGTTAAAATTTGGGGCCAAAAAGGGGTCTTACTGGGCCTACTGCTTTGTCTATAGCTATTGTCGTTTTTAAGATATCTCAAAACGCAAAACAATGGACAAATTCTTAATTGAATTCCAAAATAAAAGGAGTAGTCTGATGATAATTTTGTCAAAGTTAATGGACGGTAAGTGATAACATATCTTACACTGGGAATGGTGAGATTAAGGTGGTACCAAAAATAATTTGACAAAATATTTACTTTGACCCTTTGACAAAAATATAAAAGTTTCAAAAAACTTGAACCACAAACACTAATTTTGATCATTGAGAAGCTTAATTTTTCCTTGACATTAGAACGTGATTAAAACGTTCAGCTAATTTTTAGAGTTATCTCCCTGTAGTATTATGTACCACCTTAAAACGAATTGTAAAGTGATACATCCTGCTGCTTATTCTTCTATTTTTTAAACATGATTATTACTATCTATTCGTCAATACATTTCAATATGACATTCAAATGAACCATTAATACCCCATATTTAAAATAAAAGTGGAACATTAATCCAGATTATAATATTTGTGATTTATGAATCAAATATAAAAACGTTGAATGCAAAGAATTTGTGAAAAGTCAATGAACTATTCCTAAAAAAGGGTTTCTATACAGCTTTGTCGGTTTATTGGATGCCCTGTGGACATACTTTGTCTTACAATCATATGCATTATGACCAGACGTCTAGTTGCTGTCTAGTATTTAAGCCAAAGTAAAGGTCACAATTATGAACTAAGGAGGGGGGTTTCATGTAGAAATATTCCTGGATTGTGTTTTATTTGTATATAAAACCATTCTTTCGTCCATTTTGTAAACTGTCATTCATAAACGGCCTTCTTTGAACTGTTAACGATTTAGATAAATTTCTTTTAAATTTCACTGTATGATTTGTTAATTTCAATGTCAATTGTCCATCTGATATCATTATGGTTTCTTTAAATGTTCATGGTCAAGACACTTCGTACTGGGTATAACAATTTAAATCACTGACTGATGATATACAATGCACAGAAGGAGATGTTCACACTGTCAATGTAACTGGTCTCCCTTCTTTTGGAGTTCCTTTCATTCTGATAATTCCGACAACTCAAATGTTTGTACAATTGACTTTTAGTTTTCTATGGATTTTTCTTTTTCTATTTGTTGAGATGGTCATACTTATATTGATTGATTGGTTGGTGTTTAATGTCACTTTCAGCACTATTGTGCTATTTTGTGGCGGTCAATTTTTATTGGTTGCGGGAGCCGAAATGCTCGGAGAGAACCCCCGACCTTCGATAGGAAAACTGACTATCCTAGTCAATTTAAATTGGAGTCGAGCACACCTGCCACGTGCGGGATTCGAACTCACAACATCAGTGTTTACAGACTAGTGTTTCAGTAGTTCGACTTCTAAGATCACTCAGCCACTGAGTCCACCTCATAAAAAGTTTATAAATTCACTGTTTACAAAACTTTGAACTTTTCGAAAAACTAGGGATGCTCTACCACAGGAATAGATTACCTAGCTGTATTTAGCAAAAGCTTTCGGATTTTTTGGTCCTAAATGATCTTTAAGTTTGTATATTATTTGGCCTTTTATAACTTTTTTAGTCGAGTGTCACTAATAAGTCTTTTGTAAACAAAACGCATGTATGGCATACAAAATTGTAATCCTGATGTATCTATGAAAAGTTTTTTGTCAGTGCCCCTTGTTATATTCTCCACATGTTTTATAGTGTTAGACAACGATTTGGCTATGCACTTTAAAAATAAGATGTGCATGTTTCACCAATTCTTAACAAAGAGACAAAATCACCAGCCTGAAATGGTCGAACTGAAAGATGCATCTTTCCGATTTTTTTTAATTTCTTGCCATTGGTATATGTTTGTCTTATTATATAAATGGCTGTTCCAAATACTTCTGGACTTTATCTCTGTTTTATTAGCATATTGTAAAGTTGTTTTTTCATTCAGGATGAAAATTTTAAACAAAACTAAATTCAACCTGTTTATCTTAAACATTTGTGAACTACTTTATAGTTTCCTAGTTAAATAAGAAACATCATTACTCTGTCAATCTTTTAAACTTGTATATCTTTTCTGACCTAAAGCAGTGATTTTGCTAGTGCTCGTCACTTTCGTAATTTACGAAACTGTTTTCAAAATGACGAAAGTATTTCAAATCAATTTCGTCACTTAAATTTGGAAAGTGTAAAAATATTTTCGCATGAAAATGCTATAATTCTACCTGTCTACATGTTACTGACAAGTTTATGACCCTCAGCTAATTACCATTTACAACAGGTGTTATAAAGTTGTGATTACAGCTAATCCGCTTATCGCCATCGGATGGGTCACTAATCTGGTTAATTATTTTCCCCAGTAAAGTTAGTCAGTCTGCATTTTAATTTCAATATTTCTCAAGGCCAACGACAATTTGCAGTTCGTTTGTCATAGTTTCGTCATTTGAACAAAATTGTTTTCCCCTGGACAGTTCGCTCTTTAATTTCAATATTTCTATAACGATCATAATTTGTATTTCATTTGTCGTAGTTTCGTCAAATGATTGTATTTTCATCATTTTTGATATAAAACGTTCAATTTCAGTTAAAAAGATAGAACTTTATTCAAAACGTTCAGAAATGTTTTCACGTTAAAAACTTCCATCATCATCAACGAGTCAAACAGGTGCTTCTTTTACAATATACTGCGCATGCGTGAAAGTATTCCTATAGACACTAAAACGTAAAATACGAAATAAATTTAGTGCCAAAATAAATGAGAGAGACAATATAGTTCTTACTAAGCAAATTGAAATGAAAAAATGACAATTTCCTGCCTTTTTTGAAACACGAACCAATCCGTAGATGAATCCAGATTCATTCTGAATTTATTATCTACTTGTCACTTCCCATTTACATTTCATTTGAAAATCGAAAGTAAACGTGATCAATTCTCGATTAATTTACAATTTACAGTTATTGGAATCGTTTCATGTGAATTTGTACAAATCCTTGGTTCCAACATTATAGAAATTAATTCAAATTATCGATTTAAACGTTTTATATAGATAACGATTATGCAGTGTATTAATAGTCACACAAAGTTCAACACGTTCATTTATACTGTGATTCCTGGTTTTAAAAAAAGGAACCCAACATTTGTTGATCAGGAATGTCCCCTGAAACTAATTGAAGTATAATTTTTTTACTAGATTTTCAGATCTTATATCCTAATCTTCATATTTTAGTGACACATCAGTCAAATCATGCAATTACTGCCTAGTAAATTGATGCCTTAGTCCTTCAAAGTCTGACAAAGATGTATAGCTAGTAATATGAATACATCCTTGGTCCCTTGCTGTTACCCAAAATAATGTTGATTTTTATCTCGCGCAAAAGTGACTAAAGCCCTCAAAATCCTAGCTTAAACCCTGCCTAAAGGCAAAAGAATAATCACCAAAAATGTATAGATGGACATTTATTCATCTATTTAAACTTAAAAAAACCATAGGCATAAACAATACCAAAATATATAACTCATTTGACACATTTAGTCAAATATTTGACTGTGATAGTGCTTGTGTAAAGTTTAAAAATATAGCAGCAGTTTTGACACAAGGGTAAATGTTTTAAGGAATAAAACAATAGAATGTTAAGCTTCTGCACACATAAAAACCTAGCAATTAAATACTCAAGAACTACATCTATGGGAAATTTCAAAATAAAAAAGGGAAAACTCTGATAACATTACATAAAAATATGTAATAAGAATAAAAATTGAACTATTACGAACTATAAACTATCAATATTGTTCAAATACAAGAAAATACACTGCACTTAAAATACCGTTGAAAGTTAATTATTGAAAAAAGATCAAGATGTCTGCTTATACTATTGCCATTCAATCTGAGGATAAGATTACACAATTTCTATTGTCCCTAATTTTAACTGAGGTTATTGATCAATAACAGACAAAAGAAACTTGTTATATCTAACTGTTGGAACCACGGACTCAAAGGATAATTGACATATGTTTATGTTGAATCATCCTATAAACTTTCAACGGTATATTCATACTACTTGTAGTGTTTAAAATTTTGCAAAATTGAAAATAAATATGATCATTTTCTGTTAATATGTATAATATCTGATGACATGCTATAGAAACGTAAAAAAAATTTATAACCAACCATCTTAAAATGATTTCTCTGAAAAAGATATTTCATCTGTTTAATTTAAAGGCAGTGTCTAGGTGAATGAAAAAATAGAAAATGTGAAAATGTACAGAAAGCAAGGAAAGTTTTGCTAAGTTTGATATACAATATTATTAGTTTTGTGTGCAAATCTATCACAACAAAATACTTCTTATTCAATTTGGCAGAAATCAATTCAGTTCTGAACTGAAAACAATGCCATACAAGTAATATTATAACAATAATATGAGCAAATAAATATCATAAAAAGATAAATGTATAAAATAGATATAACACAGTAAAGGACACATTAGGTTATTAATAGTGAATATAATAAACAAATTGACTGAAAGACTAGGGAACAAAACATTTGATTCAATGGTGAGGAATGACTTGACAGTGTAAGTGAAAATGTAGAAAATGTTCATACATGAATAATCAAAAGATGTTAATTTGAATACTAATATTCTTCATGTGAAACAAGACAAAACTTCTGAACATGTTTTACCTAAAAATATTTTATATAATTTCAATAATTTATCAATTTATGTATCGATTTAACTGGTCTTTTTTAATACAAAATGGCTATATATAACTCAATAGTTTGGGGGTTTTAACGATTCGAAGGAATATTCATAAATATTTTTAAGGTTTTGTAATTATGCAATAATATCATTCATTTCATTCTACAAAAAGTCAAGTACCCATATGGTAGATTTGAAACTCCTACATTCAATCTTAATTCTCTTCTTCTATAGTCAATAACATAGTTGTTGCACATGACATATTGAAATCAAAGAGAACAATTCTAAAATAGCATTAAAGGTATTAGGCATATAGGTCCTTTTTTTTCATTGATCAAAAGTAACAAAAATTTATTCAAACTATAGCTCAATTAAATAAATAGTTATAAAATTTCAATAAGACACAACACCAGGACATAGCAAGTACAGAAAATTAGTCATACAAGGATATGAAAAAAAAAATGATTCTACTGTGCAAGGTTTAACATTTCAGCAGTTAATATTGGGGAAGACACATATTAATTAGTACAAGATTATAAGACTTAATTTTCCATCTCACTTTTAATATTAACAATATGGCAGTTTCACCTTCAAGATATTATAGTTCAAAAATATTTTAGCAGTAAGATGTCCAGTTCATATTGTTGAATATCATGATCTTTATTTGCAATTCATATTTTCATTTTTTTTTTTGGTAAATCTAAGGTGTAAAAATTAACTCAAATAATGCCAATATTTAACCTACACATTAATGAAATGTGTGAAAAGCATTCATCTCTTATCCAGATCTTAAGATTGTCCTAAATATTAAATTCCTATAAAAATTAGTTTTATATCCTAGACCAATTTTCACTAACAATATTCTCTTTATTTCTTATTGCTATTCTATGGTACAATTGTTCAATAACAATATGTGAAATATGATGTAAATATCATCTGATAATCCTTTTTTGTATTGATATAGTCAACTTTTACTGTAAGGAATTATAACTATATAATGAAATCTTTAAACTGAACCATACTTGGACCTACAATTTTGTTCCTATGACAAGGGTGTTTTATTCATTCTGGTTAAATTATTAAAGAATATGCCTTGTACATCCTCTTACAAGAGTTTAGTTTTAACAAGTGTTTTGCACAGGTTTCAGGTTAATCAAGTATTACTGTAAAGCAAAAATCTATGAGAATAATCTTCAACAAATTTCAATATGGTTTAAAAATTATGACACTTTGATACCCTCAAACACCTGGGTAAAGCTCTGTTCCAATTCCTTGTTATGAAATCATCAAAAATTAAATTTTAATTTGATCATTAAATACTACAACAATAGAAATTAGATGTCTGTTTAAACTGTCCATTCTCAATACCTGACAAAGTAAACAATGCTTAAAAATGCCGTCAGACTCCAGGGGTATGAAATTCTATTCCTAACAGCAGTTGTAAGATTCAATTAAATGAACAATTATGGAAATTGAGAATAATATTTTATCAGTTTGTTCAAATCATTTTTACCTATCAACATTTTGCATAGTAAAACTTTTACTTCTGATTTGAGATTGTATTGGACGAAATTAAAGGTATATAAAAGAAAATCATTATCGTAATAATATATCAATACTTAAACACATATAAAAGTTGGGTTTTTATAAAGCATTTACTCCAATCTTCAATCTATTTTGCCGCATTTAAGCAAGGCCAATTATTTTTACCTACATTTCTATTGGTCTTCTTAATAATTTGTAAAAGAACATTGTTACATGATTGTATCAAAAAGAATATAAGACGCAAATTACATTGGAAAAAAAACACTGGTTTTGCAAAGGCAATTTACTTGGTTTATAAGTGATAACAATAATTTGTTATGCATTTTTTAATTACACAATACTTAATAGAAGGGCAGTCTGCTATTTAAGCAATGTTACCCTTCATCCTCTTGAGGTTCCTTCAGCAATCAAGCATAAATCAATAAAATCTTTTTAACAGACTTGAAAACATTGCAAATTGACAACATTAGTTAAAAGTACAGACTGAGACAACTGAAATCATAGTATACTAGACATACAATGCCTCATATGATGTGCATGCCAAATAATTTTAATCAAAAAGTTTGACTGAATTTCAAAAGACCATTTGCCCATACAAAATACCATGACAATTTTCAAATAAATATTACAACACCATACATTATTCAATATTTCTTCACCATATGTTAACAAATATTATAGGAACATGTATTAACAAAGATCACATGATCATACATCAACAAAGATCGCATGAGCATACATCAGCAAAGATCATACATCAACAAAGATACATGATCATAAACAAAGATCACATGATCATACATCAACAAAGGTCACATGATCATACATCAACTAATATCACATTATCATACATCAACAAAGATCACATGATTATTCATCAACAAATGTCACATGATCATACACCAATACAGATCACATGATCATATATCAACAATGTTCACATGACCAATGCATCCTTTAACAAACATCACAAAACCATTCATAATAAAAGTCACATGATATTAATGGTCACATGACCATATATGCTATAAATGATCATATGATCTTATGCTACTATGGCTCATGGCCATAGACAATACACATGAACAATGATGCATATGCAGTTTGTTTAGGTACCACTGATTAAAACAAAATCTCAATATACTTCAGCAGCAGAGCTATCAGTTACATTTCCTACACGTAACAATCGTACATGTTCTCTCTCGTGTTCTTCTAACTGGTACTTGTCTTCCTTTAGGTATTGACGGTGTTTCTGTAACTTGATGTAAGATTCTTCTCTTTCTGCATGAGCCTGTCATGAAAAAATAAAACATGAAAGTAAGTCAATAAAAATGAGTAAGTAGTACAAACATAAATTCTTATATAAAAATAAGGAAATGTGGTATGAATGCTAATAAGACCAATATCCCCCAGAAACCAAATGATGTGGATGTAAGCAACTATAGGACACATACAACCTTCAATAATGAGTAAAACCTATATTGTATAGTTGCATGCTATAAAAGGCCCTGACTTGACAAAATTGAAACAATTCAAATGTGAAAACAATCAAGCCTAATTTATGATAAAACAATAAACAAAAATAACAGATAGCAACCAATGACAACCACTAAAACTTTAGTCTATATATGTAAGGTTACAAACTTGAACAAGTATGACTTCAAGAAAATGTACTTCACTAGGCCTACAAAACTTACCATTTATAAAGCTGAAATACATTGTCTTATCTGTGATGGGCATTCATATGGGAATCTATATCGCAATGAGACTTTATTTCTTATCAATCTATTTATGAGAACAAACATGCACAATAGTTAAACCATTTAGAATACAGAAGATATCTGGTTTACTATGCCCATAATTTAAAATACAAAATATTCACATAGAAGTATGCCTGTTGTGCAAATTCAATTGGGTGGCCAGCAGTGAAAAAATGTCATCCTTTTACAAATGTTTTTCTAAATGGCCAAGCAAATTTACCAGATGGTTACAAAAACTATTGCAAAAACAGATAAGGGCTGAGAGCATAATTGCTGCTACTTTTAGAAATTCAAGGAAGTCACCTGATTCAAGCAGTTTCATATGAGTAATTTTGACATGACCAGACAATGTACTTCCTGCAATATTCAAACTTTAATAGAAATGACTACTTTCCAGAAAATGCAATAACAGTTTAGAGAACTTGTCTGCAGTTACTTAAATAATTCATATTTCTTTTTCACTAATTTCAATTCAAGTGGAAAATTGGCACTGTCTGCCTTATTTTCTGCCACAATCATCACAATAAAAATGTACAAACAAAATATCAATTTAATGATGCATTAAATATATATTCAATGCCAAATTTTTGGAAAATCAAACAAATGAGAAAAGACTTAAAGATGGAAAAAGTTTAATCATGCATGAATATATAATCATATTCATAAACAAAAGTATAACATAATTAAAGATCATAACATTCAGACAAAATATAGCCAAGATATTGCACAGTTATATAAATCTATCCTTGACCCTACAAATGCAGTGCAAAGCAATGCAAAATTTCATGTTAGAAAATTAGCTTTATCAAGAGGGATGAAATCATTTTATAAGCGACCTTTATATTTGATTTAGAGGTCACAACCATTATAAACTTGTTGTTACTATGATCTATCCAAGTACCTGACCCTTTTTGTTTTATTTATAATACCATAATTGGCTAAACAGAATTTATGTCGATTTTTATCTCTCCTATTTAGAAATGTTAAACTCAACTATAAATCTCTATCAAAGCAAGTAGAAGGGTCCTATTATCAAATACCTTATTTATTCTAATTATTATCCAATTACAACGAAACTTGGGGGCCATGAAATGTCTAGAACAATCTTTAAGAACAAATTCCTAGATACTGCATGATAAACAGCATAAAAAATATAGTATGAATAAAAGAATATGGGAAAAGTCAATAAAACAATCCAAATTTGTATTTGGTACTTATCTACTGATACATGCAGCATTTAGTAATAACATAAGCAACACGACGGGTGCCACATGTGGAGCAGGATCTGCTTACCCTTCCGGAGCACCTGAGATCACCCCCAGTTTTTGGTGGGGTTGGAGTTGCTTAGTCTTAAGTTTTCTATGTTGTGTCATCTGTACTATTATTTGTCTATTTGTCTTTTTATTTTTGGCCATGGCGTTGTCAGTTTGTTTTCGATCTATGAGTTTGACTGTCCCTCTGGTATCTTTCGTCCCTCTTTTAGTAGTATTAATGCAAACAATGGATCAATTGAGAGTCAGAAGAAATTGTGTCCAGAAAGTATAACAGCAGACTGTGGGCTAGCATATTAAAATGTCAAGTCCAGCTGTTGGTCTAGTGCAAAATGGGTTTCATATTCAGACAATGTTTTATTCCTAAAATGGCATGTAATATTTGTCACTAGATATTAAGCAGTCATCAATCAATCAATCAAGGGAAATCTTGAATTTATAAAGAGTGGCTTGAAGTTTGCTGTAGAAACTATATCAGTACTCTAGAAGTTTTAGGCCCTTGTTTATTTCAATCTGTGGATCCAGACAATTTAAAAAGGGAAAGAGGTACTGGATTTCTACTGGTAAACCAGGTTCAAGCCTTGTTTTTGTCGATTTTTATGAGATTAAAACAAATCCAAAGAAAGCACTGATTTTGCCAATGTATTTTGGAAAAGTGCTATATCATCAGACAGAATTTGAAAAGATGATGATCATGGAACCCTTCAGCAGATTATGACAAATGGGGATCACATAACAAGCTGGTTATCATGGAACCCTCCTGCAGATTGTGATAAATGGTGAATTTAACGTTAATGACAGGTAATAACTGATCATTACTATGTTATGTAGTCTGATAATATCTAGTAATGTAACAAATTGTTAACATTGTAACCTAATTGTACCACACATATTAAATCTATTGTTACTTAATAATTAAAGAAAAATTACATGAATTTTCTACAGGTCAGAACAATGTGTAAGATGCCTTAGAAAGATATTTGACTGATAATTTAATTCTGAGGTTTCAGATGGGTTTTAATTTACCTGAATTGGGTTATTGGACACAAAAGCGAATCAGAATAGTAAGGTAAAGATCTGTAGGACAAGAGTTACTAGGATTTTTTGAAGATGTAGTTAAGTATTTTCTCTTAAGTTTTAATGTGGCACACAAAGTTAAATGTCAGAGTAGAAAATAGGTAAAATTAGTTCTATTTTCTTCTGTAGAAATTTTATTGATAAGAAATAAATCATTTGAAAGTAATTTTGACTTGTTAAAGTGTTATTTAATTTTTAAAAGCAACACAGGAAAATTTACTCTTGTTGTTTTTTTCTGGAAATAACCACTTGAAAACTGCATCTGTTTTTTCTCTTCCCAAAATTTTAAATTCGCAAAATCATACTTGAAATTAAGATTGTGATTCCATACTAAATTAAACATCTTTTACAGTATATATGATAAGAATAGCATACAAAAAGTCATGTATTTTACAGTAACTATCTGTCTTCCATAGATAACTAACACCGTTGGATTATTTACTGAGGACTAAAGTCAAGATGACAGCCCAGATGACACAGATTTAAGACCTTAAATCTAGAACAAACATTGACTTTCACTTATGGTATGAGAGGTCAATAAAATCACCATTTACATTTTTATTTGTAAAGTTCAAACGAAAATTGAACTTCGGCCTGTTTGTATAAGGAAGTTCTCTAATTTCTTGTTTTTAATTTTCTGACTCAAAAGCAACATTCACATTCAAATATGTCTTTGTTGCACTTTGATAATAAATATGTATTCCATTATAAAGAGTTATCAAATTTTTAAAAGTAAATCCCTTTGATATTGTTTTACCTGAAAAGTTTTGATATTTAAAGCCAAAGGGATAATTCTAAACTTACTTAACAGTTCATTATTTTGTTTATTTTGTTTAGAAAAGAAACTGCTATTAGAGAAATGGAATTGATTGGGACAACACTTTTTAAACAATAACTGTAGGAGAAATTATCTAATCTATGTATTAACTAAGATGAAAATTCATACATTTACAATATTGAATCACACTGATGAAAGTTGTCTTATTAAAGAGATATGGTCTAACTCATGTAACTGGACTATGAGTACCATCATGAATTTGAATGTGGTATATTTAAATTGTCCCATTCACATTTAACCTTAATCACCTTAAACTCATGCTTTTTTTTTTAAATCAGAAGAAAAATATGAAATGCAAAATCACAGAGTTACATGCTACAAACATTTCAGTATCCAGACTTAATTTGTAACCTTTGACTATACAAGTCGGACAAGGACACATTTGTTTTATGAACAAAATCTGACCTCTTGGTAGACAAAATACAATGCCTTCTTTTACTCAATGTCACCAAATATAATTTTTTATAACAAAACAACCCCCAAAAAAGTATTTTTCTACTTTTTCCTTTTCAAGTGAGATTAAAAATCAAAAGAAATAATTGATCAAGACTTGTAAAGAACAATGGCCGTAGTGATCATTATCTGGACAGGACAGACATAAATTACTGGAGATTAACTGTATGTCATACACAACGGTGGTGGTCTAAATAATGTGACCTGCAGAGAGGCCATAGCAGGATATTTATCACAGTTTCAATAAAAAAAATTGCAATTTGAAACAGCTACAGTGTGCACAATGCCAAATAAAAACATGCATAACCAATTTAACTACTGGGAGAACTTTATTTGAGCGAAATGAAAAGATTTTCTACATGTTCACATATATACCAATTTCTAGTGTTAAGAGTCATGCAGTTCCTTCTATCTGCCTGCTTCTTTCTAAAACTGCTACAATGTGTCAATAATAACTTGCAATTGATTACTGCTTCAATTTCCTTAAAGCTGATTACCTGACTACCTGATTACTGACTGACTTTAAGAATGGAAATCAATTATGGGAGGAATCAGGATTACTATTTAGAGTTCAATATTTTCCAACCAAACTGACTAATTGAATCCCTTCTTTGGGGCCTTATATTTAAAATTCATTCATAAAAATAATCTAACAATTTTCGTGTGAATGGTGACTACTGTAAACAAGACAGAATCAGATGAAAAGATAAATTAACAAGAATTTTTTGAATGGAAAACCCTCAGCATATTGAAATACCAAATTGTTTTTAAATATAAAGTAATTCAATCTTAAAGATATTGACTATTTATGATTTATGTGCTGAACTTAAAGGACGAAATTTGCGACTTGAATATTTAAGGGCATGACCTTTTGTAGTATGTACAATTTTCATTTGCTGATTTTCAATTTACATTTATGTGCATTTTGCTATTGGCCACATTGGGATAAAATAAAAGAAGAATGTGTCCCCATGGACACAGATGCCCTCGCTTGTAAATATGCAAGAGTCAAAGTACTAATTCAAACTTATTGATTGCTTTATTTTCTTTGAAACTTAATAACATTTGTTTCTGTATGTTCTTGACATTAGAAATTGTTCTGGGGATTGAGTGCTCTCATTGTTCAATAACAAACAGTAATGTGGTAAGTTGAGAACGGTGAAAGTGATGCCACCCTAATTCGAATTTGCTCTTTGTTTGGGTTGTTATAAGCATTGTGTATACATTTCAGAACAGTCAAGGCAAACTAAAGATACAGAACAGAAACCAACTTCAGGACGTACAGACGAGGGTAAACCATAATCCCCACCGTCACTGCTGAGTCATACAAAAAGACTTAACATATACATGTCCCTGTCCCAAGTGAGGGACCTTGTCAACAATTGTATTTAATTGTTTATGAGATCCTGTTGTTAGCATTTCTTTGTCTTAAAATACGATTGAGAACATTTACATGTTTAATAATTAAACTAGTATTTCTGTCTATTGAGTTTGTTTACGTGTTGATCTGAAATCGTTTAAAAGCCATTTTTTTCAGCAGAAATATATCTACATTAATTTTTCTACAGTTGGAAGTGTCCTCTATTGAGAAATTTCTTTGCTTTCATTTTTTTCCACACCTCCTTTCAGAAATCATGAAACATAAGTTGACATTACTTAATACAAATTTGAATGTCTTTCATGTTTTAATTTCAAGGACACATTAACACATCTTGTCATGTATTTTAATGTTTATAACTCAATTACAATTTTTTCATCAATTTAGTATTTCTATTCTTATGGAAAATTATAGTCACAAGTTTCTAATACATAAACAGGTGTTATGTCAGTGTTTAGGTAATAAACATTTTATTCCCCACAAATAATGACAACAATTAGACCCTTTTGAAAAGTAATGATTCGTAGAATTCAAAAATGAATGAAAATTATCCTAGCTAAAAGCATGTTTTGTTAAGGAAAAAATTATAAAATGCAACTTTCGACATAAACAAATCATAAAAAATTTAGTACTTTTATGTCAGTAAATTATAAACATTTTTAAAAATCACTGAAGTGTGTTATTAGGTATTAACCATAAAAATTCAAGTTATTGTGGTTTCTTTCAATCTACTCCCTGACAAATTGCCATCTTTAATATTTTCATATCTTTATAATGAATGTCAACAACTCTTTTAAATAACACTATCTTATCTGATCCTTTAGCACAAAATCAAGTCACCGTCAAATACGTAAGAAATTTCGTCATTTCTTTAGCAATGGATGGGCTATAATTTCAAATTTATGTTAATGATTTTGTTTGTTCAACAATTTGTAACCAATTTAGGAACACGCTTTGTAAATTAGCTCTCGTTATAATATATTTAGATATATTTAGTCATAAAAAGTAATTTGCCTTATTACAATTTGTGTCACATGAGAATTAAATAAATTTGTAAATATGTCAGAGAAGCATTGAATAACAAAAACAAGCATACAAATTTGTTTTTGTATAGGAAATATATATGGAAAGACTTTACTCAATGATTTAAACGTTTGTCATCAGATTAGAAGACTTTCCCTCAAGAAGATGGTTCATAAAGTTCGAAACAAATCATTGTAAAGTAAAACTTCTTGAATGATGACTACTGACTAACTAAGGTAAAGTTATATCTAAAATGACTCTCATAAGATAAACACTCAGGGAGAAATCATTTGAATCTAAAAAAGCCTAAAGTGTATTGTCAACAGATTTTTTAAGAACCTTTTGAACCTCCCACTACTGTTGGAATAAGCAAAAAAACATTCATGACGAAGGTTTTGAAACGAATTCTTACCAATATTTCTACTTTCATAAAGTCAGTTAGATACAAAATAATTTACCATGCAGATAATAGAGATAATTTGAAATTGTAATAAGTGCAGGATTTATATGTTTATACACCTCCTTTCATTGTCAAGAGATAACTAATTTCAAGTTGTGCATAAAGTCAACTGCTGCAAGATTTAGCTTTTCGCCTTTGGAATATGGTAAATGTCTTCATGTCATTAAGGATGTACTTAGATCAGGTTTAGGAACTTTTGTCAGATGTTCGGACTCCTTTTTTTTTTTTTTTTTACCATACAAATGATACAGGGTAAAATATTTTGCCCCAATAACACCCATTTTTCTTTTCATATAAGACTTCAATAGCTCATAAAAGGATCATTTACCAAAATTTAAGCAGATTCTAGATTTCTTTTCTTTTGATTTGAGACCCAAATAATACCAATACAAATAAAAGGTAAAAGTCTAAGTCAACCTTTTCCCGCCATTTTTTCAAAATTAAATATCTCGAAAAGGAGCTCCATAATCTATCGATATTTTTAGCTTCTTTTGTTCCTTAACACATGCTCTTCTGACTTATAGTATCAATTTTAAATTCTAGATTTTTTTAATTTCACCTTAAGTACATCCTTAAAATTAAATGGAACAATTTTCTTACCTTATCTAACTCTGCTTTCTCTCTTATGTATGTTTGTTCTATCTCTCTTTCCAGTCGCTGTCTCTCAGAAAGCTCTTCGCGTATTTTTATAGAATTTTTGCGTTTTATCTCCGCTAACTGTTGTTGTAATCGTCTGACATTTTGTTCTTGTTTTTGACGGGCATATTCAGAGTTTCTCACTTGATTGTATAAATTCTTTTCTTGGTCTTCTCCTTTAGTAACCATTTTCTAAAATCAAGAAAATTTGCATTAAAACTATAACTGTTACTAACTATATAGGTCATAATTCAGAATTTTGGTTTAGCTCCATTCTAACTAAAACTTCTTTAGAGAAAAATTGGCTTTCTATGTATATCACTTTAGACTATATAAAGATTTAACATGATTACGAGATTAATAAGGGAGGGATGTACATTAAAGACAACCTTTTTGATTAAGATGTCCATTAAATCTTCTGATATCAGTCCTCCATAAAACAAAGTTTTAAAGAAGAAAAGGGAAACATCCAAGGTATTACCTTTCAAAATCTTACAACAATAAAATCTAAAAAAGGATGGTTGAAACAAACCAACAAATTGTGAGCAATTCTTCATGTTGTTTTAAGGTATTCTTTAGATTTTAATTAAAAGCTTTGTTTTTTTGTTTGTTAATGAAACCTAGTAGTTAACATGACTGGAAATATCTGTAAAGACTATTATATAAGTAGAAATGGTGAAGTTGATGTTTTGGTATTGGAAACCCCAAAAATCACTCTAAACTCTATATAGCTACCATGCCATTTCCAAGGAGTTGCTTAACAAATTGATATAAATCCATACTTTGCTATCGGGAACCATAAAAAAAAAAAAAAACCATTCTGATTAAAAAGTTTAAATAGAATTGCACAACTGCATGTCTAATGTAGAAAAATCTTTGAAAGTTTGGCAGAATTCTGTCAAGCTGTTTTCAAGGAGTTGTGGATTAACAAAGTGTAACACAAACCATGTGGACGACAAACACAAGAAGCCAACAGAAGTGAGCCCTATGTGTCTCCACAGCTGAAAGCTGCCAAGCAACATGAAAACATCTTTGAAAAAGGCTTGTTCATCTCTGGCTTAAAATATTCTAACTTAAGTCAGAAACAAATGGAATTTTAAAATCGTCAAAATAAAATGCCACTTTTTTAGTTGAAAATAACATTGTTTCAAGAAACGGTCTTATTCTAATATGTTGTGAGTTATCCCATAACATGTTTTTGAATGATTGCCATAATATAGTCTTTTTGTGCTGTGGCAGCGTAAACAAACACCAATCTTTCAATCAATGCTTTTGAATCAAGATTATGCATATTTGTAAAAAAAATGATTTTAAATTGATATTGAATCTGATGATTTATTCTAGTCAAATCCATGATGAATGCGTCCGATATATAATATTCTAGAAACAAAATGTCCTCCTGTGTCTGAACAAATTAAGTGACAAAATGATAAAATCAGTCTTTTATCAGAGTACAAAAAGACTCTCATGTAGCTATAATCCCCAATAACCAGATGTTCCCGACTCAAAACAACTGCAGGGATCTACCATTACAAGGTCAATAACATAAATGAATGGCTATTCAATTTCAATGACAACTATTTCGTCAATAGCTTACCACACAAGTTGATTAATTTTTTTTTATAATTATTATGTCAAAAATATTTACCAAATAGTATAGTTATAACTAATAGTCATAATGTCATATTTTGTATGATATATAGGAAAAAACAAGAATGCTATGTCATTCCTAATGAATGACAAAAAATATCCGCAATCAATTTCATATTTGTGGTTTTGTAACAGTTGAAAAACATCTGTACAATCAGTATTATATAAGTAAGAAGTTAAATCCTCAATCAAAAATTGTGTGATTTCCTTTTTTGTGTAATGACATGAGTAAGCACATAGATCATTTTACATGTAACAAATAAAGGTGCTTCCTTGTCAGATCTCAATTGAACAAGTTGAAAGGGAAAATCCAAACATAAAAGTTACATTTGACCTAACGAAAAACATGCAGATACAAGCAATGGTAGTTATTGTTGACTTAAATGTCAAAAAGATAAAACAGGAAGGGGTTTTCTGCAAACTTTTATGATTAAATATCATGGTTAATGAGGCTAGAATCTTTTACCAAAGTTCCCTAAAAAGCTGACCATAAAAGCACTAAAGATGCCAAGCCAAACAACAGTTTCCTTACAACCAAAAACTTAACAAGATCCATATGTAAGAATAGACATGCGATGATCGAAGATGACAATCAACAGCTATAAAGGAAAAAGTATTTGAAGCCCTAAAAAGAAAGGTCATTTATAAATGATGGCATAAGAAAGTGTTGTTCTGTCAAAACTTATTTTGAATTTTTTCTGATATAAGGAGTGATGGACTTTCCAAATATGAAAATTTTCTTTATATGACAGTAAAGAAATGAACAAATACAACCGAACTCCAAAAAAACTATCAATATTATCAAGTCTCTAGAAAACTTTGTTTTCATTAAAACCAGTCCTATCTAAATAAAGCATAACGTAACTAAAAACAAAGCATTTCAACCAAAGACTAAATTAGTATTTCTCAGTCAGGTGAGCCATATTGACTATTACCTTTTTTTATAAATAAGTTATAAACCTGCTATCAATTTAAACAATAACATTTCAAGATGTGAAAGAGAAAGTGACTGTATTGAAAATAATTTCAATCAATGAAAAAGACTACATAGAAATTGGTATTTAAGAAAATTCCAGGAATGAAAGACTATATATAAAGCAAGTTATACTCCTATATATCTCTGCAGCTGTAATATATATAAAAAGAAACACAAATATTCAATTTTTCCTACACTTTACTTACTTTGAAAAATTTAAGTGAGTCTTCATGTTTTCGTCTTTCCTGATCAGCATTTCGTCTTTTGAACCGTCCCTCCCATACAAGCTGCTGAGCTTCCTCTTTCTCCTTTTTGTTTCTTAAATTTGTTGTCATATAATGTACTCTTCTGGCATTGTGAGACTAAAAACAAAAGTAGGAAAGTTACTTTTCTATACAAAAGATAAATATTCCCTTCATTTAACAATTCACCAATTACCAAAGACTATGGATTACAAATATCCTAATGTATTGCTTCTATTCAAAAGTTTTGTATAACTGCAATAGATATCATGGACCTATAGCTATTAGGGATTCTGTAAGATTTAGACCTGAGATCTGCTGAGTTCAACTGATGTCAGACAACAATGTCTTAATATATTCTTTGGGGCATCAGTCGTTCTCTCTTGTGATGTCAAAACCTAGCTGCACAACCGTACCATGGATCCACAGCTAGTCAAAACCTTAAGGATGTTCGCTACTCTTAGTTTTGACTTTTTGTCAGATATTCGGAATCCTCTAGTTTTATCCATGTAGTGCCATTAAAAAATTTTGCCTGCTAACCCCTACTTTTCTTTTCATACTTTTATTACATATAGTTTGAAAAGCCATATTTGAAAATCTTATAAAATCCTTGTTATTTTTTCATAGTTTTTGAAAGAAAAAAAGGTGCCTATGATAAATGTATGAAAATTCTAGAGAGAATCATTTCCCGCCAAATTTTCAATGGCTTATATCTCGAAAACAAGCACACAGACCTTTCATTTTTTTCTGCTTTTTTAGTTCCTTTATTCATGTACTATCAATTCATAACAGTCTTTTAAAAAGCTTGTTATTTTAAAACAGAGTAGCAAACATCCTTAAGGTTAGGTCTGTGATATTTTGTTATGGCCAATAAAATAATACTAATAAGCAGTATTGAAAAATTATTCAAGACCTTGTAGATTTTTAAAGAAAGGGTATAATTATTGAAGTGCAACATAGGAAAACTAAAGAACATACACAAGCACACAGAGACAATATAAAACATGCAAATATTATTGAGAAAATTTTTTCAATCAATTTAACAATAAACAAGGAATTATTTGAATCTGGAATAATTTTGAATTCTGGAAAATTGATTAGAAATGTATGATGAAAACTAGCCCAACTAAATAGGGTTAGCCATGCATGCATGGCTAAGGTTAATTTTACTTTCACTATCATTTCAGTATGAATTAACTAACCCACCTTAGCCATGCACGCATAGCTAACCCTATTTAGTTGGGTTAGTTTTCATCATATATTTCTCATCAATTTTCCAGAATTCAAAATTATTCCAGATTCAAATAATTCCTTGTTAATAGCAGAAATGATTAAGTCATTTGAGTAAAGGGTGTAAATTTAGCTTCATTCCATGTGCAGTTTACGGTTGACATCAGGAACAAAAGTAACAAAAAAGCCATTGAAGATGTAAAAACACTGTGGGAACTGAATGCCCAAAAGGGACCTATAAAATGAACAGAAAAAGCCCGAAGTCATATATATCAACATTTAAATTTTTCAGTTTACCATTATTTCTTGTTGAACATACTTGATTGAATTCATAATGACAATTACATCATAATTACAATATTATGGTTTTTGAAAGTTTAATATTTTTAAAGATGATACATTAAAAGGTTTTGGTTACTCAGGTGACAGCTTAAAGCCGCAATTGTGACACAATCTATCAGTTCTTGGTACATTGTGCCATGTTCCCTTATAAACTGGTAAACAGTGATTCCCACATTTAAAGTCACATAAGGTGATTTAAGTATCAATTGTATGTAAATGCTGAAACATCGACAACTGTAGTTATATTGTAAAATTAGGGACATGTGCCAATTACCTATGCCAAAATAGTGTTTTCTACATAAAAATGAAAATGACAATAGCAAAAATTAGGCTGGAAATCGCAGGAGATTAAGTGCACATGTTCCTAAAATAAAACTGGGAAAATGTAATTGGTAGATTCAAACAAATCTTTCTATGATAAACTAAAATATAACAATTAGACTTTCAATAACAAAACTGATGAAGTTGTAAAAAAACCAACACAAACCTAGCACCTGTCTTTAATGATCTGTAAATAGATTAGCCATTTTACTTGGTATAGTTGTGAATTTGATGACCCAATAAAACAGTTTTAAAACCTATTCACTAAAGCCACAATTATACTAATTTCTCCAATTTCACAGAAGTTCACACAAAAACATTGCAATGTATTCAGCTTTGTGGGGGTATTATAACCACAATGTGATTTATAGCCTCAATTTGAATTCTGACAGATTGACATTTTGAATTTTGAATAGATGTACAAATTATCCAGTAATTGTATTAATTAGCTTCATTTAAAGGTTTTTTTTTCTAATATTGAAAATTATTTAAAATAATTGTGAAAGAGCAGACCAAATATTGGGATTTTTTCCTAAAAATATATGTGAATGTCACAAATTATTAAAGTTGACAAATTAAATTGATTATTGTAAATATGTTATTGTGTTTTTTTTCAAAACAGCTTGACATTAAGATACATTTTTAAGACATTTTCAATTTCATATTAATTGAAAAGATAATGATTTATAGTTTACCTTAAATTTAACTGATGACATTTTAATTGCAATATGAATTAAAAATTAAAATCAATGATTATATAATATGATTCTATTCCTTTTACATTCCAGTTTTACAAGGAATTCATTTATTTTGACTCCTAAATTTTTGATAAATTAGTCTATTTATATTAACCTTTAATACAAAATTGTATAAAATATGGGAAAAATCTTATTATTGAACCTATGCATGTAATTGGTGCATGTGAAATGGGTTAAACATCCGCCATATTTGTACCTGTACAAATTAAGCTATTTTGGTCTTTGTGTTGTTCATAGTTTTAGCCTTTGTTTGTGCATCTATTTTTCATTGGAGTCAAAGTTTAATGAATATATATTGGATGCAATACAGAAGACCTCTAGACTCACTGTCACAAAGGTGTTAAAAAGATACACTGAAGTCCCACTTCCCCTTTTATTTCACTTACTCAGTAATTGACCAAGAAACATACCATCAACAGAACTGACCTTGCCATCATAACAATTTTAAGTATGATTATCTTACTCAGACTTAGAATTCATCAACCAATAAAAAATACTGGATTTGGTGTTTCTAGCACAAATTTTGTTCCCTGATCGAGTACTGAAGAAAGTTTTATGACAGAGAGGCCTAGACTACTTTCTTTACTCACATTTTTGTTTTGATTATTTGAACTAAAAGTGAAATGCAGAAATGCATAATCATTTCATCTATTTCATATTGATAACATTCTTACTGAGAGTCTTTTCATCAAATTTTCCAGCAGTCTCTAAGGTTGAAAGTAAATAAAGGTCATATATTTCCCCTTTATTCCATGTTATACAATGTATAAAGAAAACTGTCTTGCCACTATTATTGTTATGACTTTATCCTCTAAAAGAAGCAAGCAGATCTTACTGCTTGGATTAATTGTTTGTTGTCTATATAATGTCTAGTGGCAAGCACTTCATGCATATCTAATGCTTGAAGGACCAATTTGAAGAAGTAGAAAATAATTGTAATAAAGGAAGGTTCAAATGTTTTCTTCTGGTTAAATATCTGGAACTTTCCATCCATAATTTTCAGACTGTCCCTTTTAAACCTTAATACAATGGAACATAATCTAAGCATGTTACTGTAAATTCAGAAATTATAGCATGCATTTATTATTTCGATTTTTGAAGAATGAACAAAAATGTGAGATTAACTATTGCGATTCAATGAAAACCGCATAGAGATATAATATATGTATCAGATATCAGAATGCCAGTTCTTATATACTATTGAGATATGCACCCAGTCGCATTATTACCATTAATAAAAACCTTGCAATAATTTCTGAATTTACAGTAACATAATACCAGTATTTTATCTTAAAAGCAAGAATTTCAAAACTTATCTAAAAAAGTATGTTAGACTTTGAAAGTAAAATTATGACAATCAGGCCCTTAAAGAATGTACCTAAAACCTACACATTTTTGAAACCCTAAAAAAAGATGTGACCTAAAATGTCCAAATTATGCTGTGTCACCGGAATGTTTTTAAAAAAATCATCCCTAGATCTTACTGATGGCTACTTTAACTAGTGCCATGTTGTGACATTTCTACCTATCAGTAGTTACAAACAGTGACAAAAATTAAGTACATTGTAAAATTAGCCAAGTAATGTTACGAGTCAAAAAACATCAATTGGTAATTCGAACACATAATTTTCCCCGAGATTGATGTTCACAAAATGGGTAGTTTACGATGTGACAAAAACATAAATGTTATTGGGTTTCCTGTAAACTTTTGTACGTTTGGCAAAAGCTGTTGTCAAATTGTAATTTTCTGAAAGCGATATTAAACACTGTTTATACCATTATGGAAACCCCTAGAGTAATTTATCCGATTGCATTTTTCGTCTTTGTGTGTCCTTTGAGGAACATCAAAAATAATTATTAGCTGGTTTAATATTTCTATTATTTGAAGTATGTTTTATCTTTCCGTTTAAATTTTGGGAGGTAATCACTTTTTACATGAAAACACCAAATAAACAGCTACTGATTTTAAAAAACTTGAAGATTTGACAATAAGATATAATTAATTCTCATAATTTCGGCTGGTTGTACTAATGTTAGAAACGTGGGAATATATTTACACTGGAACAAATCTATGAAAGTTCTTATTTAAACACTAATTAAAGTATCATTTTAGATTAATGTACTTCAGGAATATCAAACACTGACACTAAATAAATGACTGATTTTATCAATTTGTCTTTAAAAAAAGTAATTCAATTTTTTTTATAGATAAGAATTACATATACTGAACAAATCAAATTAGTCCTCAAATTTGATAATGACAGGGTGAAAATACAACTTTATTATATTTTGTACCTATTCACTCTAAAATTGTACCAACAGATATGTTTCTATATTTTATATAGATATTTATATATATAATTTGTCTAGATCTTCAAATTTGCGTTATCAAATTTTTGTTTTTCTCTCAGCTGGATTTGAACCCTTGCTTCTGTGACATCGTGCCAACACCGCCTGCACCTTGTCCAG